TTTTTTTTTTTTAAGACAGGGTTTCTCTGTGTAGCCTTGGTTGTCCTAGACTTCCTTTGTAGACTAGGCTGGGCTCAAACTGACAGAGATCCATCTACCTCTGCCTCCCCTAGCTGGGATTACAACACCCAAATAAATGTCATTTTAAAACATCACATATGTATTTAAATCTTCTCTTCTCCTTAATCCTCCTATGCTCAAACTTTTGACATGATTTATACTCACATACCCTTTCATGCTATGTGTGTCATATTATCCCTTGCAATTGAATTTTTCTTGGGTTCTAAGATTATAGTTTCCGTATAGCTTTTTCACACTGCCTTCATTTTGATTGTCTCCCAACAACACCTCATTTCCCATTTCCTACTGTGCTTGACTCTTTCTGCTCCCAGTCCCCCACCCACCCTCAGCTTTAATTTGACTTGTAATTTATTATCCCCTATCTTTAAGCCCTCCAACCCCACTGTCCCATTTTTACATTCTACATATTACTTGCTCGAGTTTAAATATGCAAAACAGTATATTTCCTGGCCTTAGAAGTGTTGCAGGTGTGCCTGCTGTGTCCTATGTGAGTCACGGTGGCACAGAAGAAAGGGGCTATGTGGACTCAGTGTTCTGACATGTGAATATCCCAATGATTAGTAGTAGTTTAACATCCCCTAACAAAAGTGTGCCTGAAATTGATTATCAGTCCAGCACCTGGCAGGGCTGAACAGGCTCCTGGAATGGTGAGAATCCAGGAACTAAAAGAACCCCGTCTGTGACCATAGTTACCACACAGGAATGAGCCTGAGATGGAAGACCCTTGCACGGGGCTGCTTGGTCTCTCTAAGGAGAGAGCTTGAGGTGTCCAAAAGTCATGTGCCATGGGCCTGGACATGAAGTGAGCCTGAAATGACCATCAGTCTTGCACCTTGAGCTGAGGGGGGGGGTGCAATCATGCCCAAGGTGACCCCTGCCAGGAACGATAATGCACAAGAGGAACATAGCACTCCTAAGACCACACCTGAGATGAACCCTGACACACAGAGACGCTAGGCACCACTATGAGGAGCAAACAAGTGGTGAAGAAGTACAGGAAATGTGGGCACAGTAAAGAGAGGCAGAACAGGAGACTCAAGGATAGTTAGGAACAGCCTGATGTGTAGCTGCTGATGTCACCTGGGACAATGGTGGGGTCCTGGCCTGTGCTGCCACCAGGGGACACATCTGGGTTCATGACCCTGTATCAGAGGAGTCTGTTACCACCAAAGACCAGGTGGACATCTCTAGTCTGGGCTGCTGTCTGGGGACATGTTTATTTCTGAGGGTTGTACAGAACTGGCCTCATCCCTTACCTGGAAATTGTGGGAAAGCAGCCCTGGGAGTGTGAGAGCAAGAGAGCTGACCCCACCCTTAGCCAGCCATGGTGCTCTGGAGAGCAGACCCACACATTGCAGGAGTTGCAGATGAAAGTGAGCATGGGAAATCTGGCCCTGTCTTACCTGTGGTCATCTGATGAGGGAGAGATACCCTCCTTCCCCATCACCCCTCACACCTGTGGCAGGTGGGAGACCTGGCCCTGGGGTCATGAGAGCAGGAGAGCTGGTTTTTCCCCTCACCTGCTGCAGCAATTGGGAGAGCAGACATTGTGCCTCACCTAGGCAGCATAGTAGAGATGGATATGGGGGTTGCAGGTAAGCCAGGGCATGAGTGGAGGAGAGCCTGTCCTGCCTCTTGTCTTTTGGGTGAAAGTGTGGATGAGGGAGAGATGCCCTTCTCCCCTTCCTTATTCCTTGCCAAGCTATCTGGGGAGAGCTGGCCCCAGGGTCATGAGAGTGAGAGGATTGGCCATGACTTCCATCAACTGCAACACTCAGAAGAGCAGGCCCTGCATTTCACCTGGCAGCAGGTTGAGGGGGTTGAGGGGGTTGCTGGTGAGCCAGCCCAAGGACATGAGAGTAGGAGAGTCAGCCATCTGGTCAACTCAGATATCTTTAAGGCTCAGATCCAGGACTCTGAATTGGCTCACCTTAACATCTACTCCAATGATGAACTGCTGGAGCGAATGGACGACTACAGACCCAAAACTGCAGGATCTCAATGAGACAGAGCAACAAGAGGATGTCCGAGAGAAGACCCAATGAGGTTCTAGTACTGACAGAGTAATATAAGCCGGGGGCCTCATACCAGACCAATGAGTATTTCCAATGAACATTTGTAAACAAAGAAGTGTGGACAAAAGGGTCCACTGTGGGACACACTGTGATATTCTACAGCTTCCACAAGATTTTCTTTTCTCTCTTGGAGGATGTAAGGGTGGAGGACCAGTATGAGGGATTGGGAGATGAGTGGGATTGGGATGCATGATGTGAAATTCATGTAGAACCAATAAAAAAGTTTTAAAAAAATAAATAAAGTGAAACTAGGACTCACATATGAGAGAAAAATCCAAAGCCTTTGTCTCTCTGGTGTGAATGACCTCAGTTAGTGTAACTCTTTACAGTTCCATTCATTTATCTGCATATTTATGAATTCATTTCATACAGTTGAATTAAAAATCCCATTGTGCGTGTACAACCTTTACCTTATCTATTCATCAGTTGATGGACATAGTGGTTGATTCTATGAACATGGTTGTACAAGGATATAATATCCTTTGAGTATATGCCCAGGTAAAGGGGGCAGAAGTTGTCTCTGACATGAACACAGTGGGTGGTTCTTTGACCTCCCCCAAGGGGGTAGCAGCCTTTCCAGGCCACAGAGGAAGACAATGCAGCCAGTCTGGATGAGACCTGATAAGCTAGGGTCAGATGGAAGAGGAGGAGGACCTCCCCTATCAGTGGACTTGGAGAGTTGTGTGGGAGGAGATGAGGGAGGGAGGGAGGGAGGGAGGGAGGGAGGGAAGGATCGGAAGGGAATATGGGATGGGGCTACAGATGGGATGCAAAGAAAATAAAATGTAATTAATGTAAAAAAATAAAAATTTAATTAACAAAAGAATAGTTATAATTTCCTTTGGATAAAGTTGTGAAATCATTCTCAGCAACTTTTTATTATTAATCTTGATTTTTGTTGGACAAGAATAATTATTTAAGGAATACAGTTTAATATTTAGATACTTGGATCCAACCTGGAGTGTTGTGAGGAACTAAGAAGAAAAGGTTTTTTAGAAATATCTAATGGTAATGGCTTATGTTATTATATATCTGTACAAAATATGTACTATTGTCTTAAAAAAATAGAAGCAAACTAACATTTGTTATTTAGCAATTGTTTCACAAGTGATTGACAGAATCATTAATTTACCACAAGAATCTTTCTATTGGAACCCATATAAAATGAAGCCATTTTGTGTTTCATTAGCTGTATGTACAAGCCCAACAACGTGTGAGTTCCCCAAGATTGGGAAGCTGAGCATGACAGATGTCTATGTGCAAACACCCACAGGAAAAAAAATTCCTGTGCATTATCTGATCAGATTATCCCTTCTATGTTTCTTTTTAATAAAAAGAAGCCTAAAATGGAAAAAAAAAAGGGGGGGGTTATAAATAGGAACAGACTGTTAAGCAGCACCTATAGGCCAAAATGGGGAAAACATGTTTTTGTTCTGTTTTGTTTTGTTTTGTTTTGTTTTTTAAAGTACACACTTAAAAGATCATTCAAGTGTTGGGCTTGTCAGCTAATCACACTCACATAAGAAATTGTTAGCCAGGCATGATGGCACATGCCTGTAATGCCAGCACTTGGGAGTTAGAGGCAGGCAGATCTCTGTGAGTTCGAGGCCTGCTTGGTCTACAAAGCAAGTCCAGGACAGCCAAGACTACCAAAAGAAAACCTGCTTTGAAAAACAAACAAAAAATAAAAAGAAAAAGAAAAAGGAAGAAAGAATTTTTCAAAAACATGAATGACTACTGACTAGAAAAAAACAAAAACAAACCTCTAAATCAGCAGCTGAAAGTAGTGAGTCTGTTCCTCACTTCAGCTTCTTCAGGTGCTCTGTGCTTATTTGAACTGCTACACAATTGATACCCTGCTTATTCTTCCAAGCCTTTCCTCATTTCAAGTCTACATTTATTTTGACAGCAATCTTCCCTCATCTTACTGTTTTGTTTGTTTGTTTTGCAAAAAATCCAACAAAACTTTTAGGCTATTGACAATTTTGTGTCCCAGAGAAAGGAAATATAGGGCTCCAAATTTCAATTTTTTTGGTCCCCCTATTTGAACTTACATAAGCCAATCTGAGATAAAAGTTTTTCACTCTTATAGAGTTGTGAAGTGGAGATCTTATAAACTCAGACAGAGTTTTGGACAATGACCTCTGACCTGATGAATATATATATTCTTAGATGGCAACTTTATCTTCCAGTTTTCCTGTACATGCTCCTACAGTACATGCTGTGTACATGACATTCGAGGATTACAATACCGTGTTTATAGTGCCTCTGAGTTTTCTTTGTGATTAACCTCATGGCAGTGTACGGTGTTTTTCTTAAAGACAGTTTTCTAGTGGAATAGTTTCCATGTTTATCTAACTTCGTTGCTAGACTATGAGGTCGTCAATGACAGGGGCAATATTAAAGCTTTGTTTCCCGCTTCCATGCACTTCCTCAAGCAGAATCAGTGTTGCAGGTGCACATGTCAATCGACCTGGTTGAAATACACAGTAACACCAAGTCGGCAGCTGCAGGAGCTGTCATTCCTGCACAGTCCTGTTGTCCTTTACACTCACATCATACCTTTTTGTCCCCATTATCATATTATTGAGATCAAGAGATGGAAGAGCAAGTTTAACACCCTTTTTTCTTTCTTTTTTTTTTTTTTAACCATAACCACAAGGCTGTTAGACCCTTGATATGTTTTCTATCTTTTGCAAGAAGAATAACTGAATGGTGAGGCTGGCGGGTGTTGCTGGCATGGCTTACTCTGTCACCGTCAGAACAAGTAAACACTTGCAGTTGGAGCAAGCACTTGAGAATGTCTGCTTGCTGTCTCTGGCTCTGATTCCAAACAGGTGAATTTCTTTGAAGAATTTCCCTAACCTCTCTACTCATTTGCTCCTGCTCTGCTGTAAAAAGAACCTGGGTCTCATCAGGAGGAAGGGGAGGAAGACCTAGACCCTATCAGTGGGCTTGGGGAGGGGCATGCTTGGAGAAGGGGAGGGGGAAGGGGTTGGAAGGGGAAGAGAAAAGGAGCTACAGGGGGGATACAAAGTGAATAAAGTATAATTAATAAAAATTTAAAAACAAAAAACCCGAGAACTCTCATTATGAGCTCTACAGCATCCTTATCTGAAAGGCAGTCAGATGCAACTTTATTCACATACCTTAAGTAAGGACCTTGGATATCAGTAAGAAGAAGGGTACCCTACCAGGAGTAAATCTAAGAACAATTAAAACTAAATCTGGCTGGTTGATGAAGACTAACATTTATCCATTTTCAGCATTACTTGCTAGGGGTTTTGTTTTGTTTTGTTTTGTTTTGTCTCAACCAAGCTAGATCAGTTCAAAACAAGAAGGCCTTTTTTTTTCCAGCCATGGAAGGTCAGCCTGTGTGGCTACCTTACAAGCTAACAAAAGATGTTTTTTGTACAGCAAAAATATCCTACTGTGATATTTATATATCCATATACAGTAAACTTGGTTTAAATGACTTCTCTTAAAAATGACAAGTTG